TGCACATACAAGGAAGCTGAGTAATGTCATATCAACACAGGGCTGGCCAAGCCCGGCCTAATGGCCAAGGTGCCTCCACCATTAAGCAGAGGCCTTAGGTTTGAACCCATAGGGCTAAGTTCCGAACAAAAATAAGCTTAACCGAAAGGGATAGTTTCAAGGTTGTTAGGACAGCCCACCAAACATAAAAAGGATGGTTTATAAGCTCAAGAAGTTAAGTTACATTCACCTTAACATCTCAATTGGAAGCAAGATCAGAGAAGACATTTATTACAGTGAGAAATGACATTTAAAACATAAAACATAAAGGTGAAGGTGGTGATACTCACAACTGCGTCCCCCAACAGATGAGTCGGTGTCATTGGCATCCACAACATTGTATGATCCAGCAATTATATCCATAATAAGGCTCGCAAGCTGAGACATCAAAACAATTGGTTCAATCCCCGAGTCCATCAATTCTCTCGCCCTCTTCACAGTTTCTGCAGTGTCCGATGATAGTGCTAATTCCAGAAGTTCCAATAACTTCTCATCTGAGACAACTCCTACCTATAGAAGGGCCAGCAGATTAGAGAAATAAGTTAGAATCAACTAAAATATTCTTTTAAGTAGAAAAATATCCATCTGACAATAATTTGATTAAAGTTCAACATTTTTTATTCCGATCATTTTTACTTTGATAATGAATCACATGTTCAAGTTCCTAGTAAAACAATTAGATTGTGTCAAACCAGACTCACAAGTTCATTTACAAGAGATGTAGTAATCTTTTTCCCCAGCAAGCTTAGCTGGTCTAGCATAGTTTCTGCATCTCGAAGTGAACCATCAGCATTTAGAGCAATCAAATCCAATGCCTCCGATTCAACATCAAGATTTTCATCAGAAGAGATTTTCCTAAGCCTGGCTGCAATGTCACCCTCTTTAATTTTGTTGAAAAGGTACTTCTGACACCGTGATTGAATGGTACGGGGCACATTCTCAATGTCTGTTGTAATAAATATGAATACAACTCGTTGCAATGGATCTTCAAGAAATTTGAGAAATGCTAGCCATGTCTTTGATGGCAGCAAGTGACACTCATCAAATACAAAAACCTTGTATCTTGAGGAACCAGGTGGGAGTGCCACTGACAGGTTTCTCAAAAGGTGCCTAACTCTATCAATTCCTTTCTTATTGGTGCCGTCAACTTCCCAAAAATAATTGTTTTTTCCAGAAATGAAATCAGTGCATTCTGTACAGTATCCACAAGGCCTTGTCTCTTCAGTTGCTAGACAATTCAAAGCAGCAGAAAAGATCCTGGCCGATGATGTCTTTCCAGTCCCTCGAGGACCTTGAAAAAGATAGACAGGGGCAATCCTTCCCCTCGAAACAGCATTCATAAGGGACTGAACTACTATATTCTGACCAATCAATTCCTCAAGAACATTGGCTTGTATTTCTGGCTCAAGCTCCTAATATTT